TTTTTCCCCTACCATCCCTTCCTTCCAACCTTCACAACTGCCCTTCCACCTCCTACCAAAGTTGTAAAGTTCATTTTCAACATAGTGTCTTGTATATCTCATTGAGTTTATCTGTTTTGGGGAAGATAAGGGGGAAGCACAGAAATGGTGGAACAAAGTGTGAAAAATGCAGCAGTGATACTCACTAGACACTGTGTTGAAAATTAACTATACAACTTGGGGAGGTGGGAGGGAAAAACTGGGAGAAAGCAAGAGAAAGGATAACACCATTCTAAAAGAAATGTACTCATCACCTGACTTTTGTAACTGTAATCCTTCTGTATATCACCTTTACAACAACAATAAAAAATGCAAAATGGCAAAACTAAAACTAAGTTGAGCATAAATTTACTATATGACTAAATTATTCCATTTTCAGACTTCTATCCCCCCAAATGCCTAATTTTATGTGCACTCCAAGATAGGTACATGAGTGATTGTAGTAGCACGTAAGACAATACCAAAATCAAAGTAGACACAAACAGGAGATAGATAAGCAAAATATGATATAGCCTCCCAGTGGAGGCTATTCATTTACTATTCAAAATAAAATGAAATAGCAATATATAATATGTTACAACACAGATGAACTTCAAAATATAATGCCAAGTTACAGAGGTAAGATGCAAAAGATGAGTACATATTATATAGTTCCATTGATAGGAAATAAGCAGAAGTAGAAATTTTATGGTGTCAAAAGGATTATCAAGTGCTTCTGCAGTGAAAGAAATGGTCTAAACCTGGATTGTGGCTAGTTCCATAACTCTAATTTTGCTAAAAATCTGATAAATGTACTCTTCCAATGGGTAAATGTTATATGTAAACTATACCTAAATGAAGCTAATAAAATAGTAACATCAAAAATGTCTTTCCCATTCTGTCTTTTTCTTGAGTGTCAGATCATGGTTTTAATGCATGTTTAGTGACTTTGTTTGGTGGAGTCAGAAGGGGCTACAGAGAAGTAACAAAATCAAATACCAGTTGGGAAGACATGACAAGTACTAGTGCCAGCTCTGACAATGGTGATTCATCAATCAATCACTAAAAATTCAAAATCTTGTTTCCCACTCACTGTCTCAGATCTTCATGCTGGCATATTTAGCATTTTCACTTGTAATCATCATCCTTTCAAATTGGAATAAGGATTAATTAATTATAATGGTGCCTTCAAACACAACCTATATCAAACATCCTGGTAACCAAGAATTTTCCTATATTCATGAAAAACTAAAAAGTCTTTGGTGTCTGCTTTGGGACCCAAAAGAAAGGGTTTAAATCAACCCCAATTTATTTCATCTGGCTTAGGTACATTATGTGGATGTATTAAATTGACTTCTTTAAGACTCTGCTTTGGATAAGAAGAATTTCTTTATAAAAAAAATCTAATTGGGCCTAAGTGTGCCATCAGAAGGAAAGGATATGGTATCAGAAGGTAGTGTTTAAAAACTGGCACTGATAAAACCAATAATGTGCACTTATCTTAGGGCTTGAACTCAGAGCCTGGGTGCTATCCCTGAACTTGTTGCTCAAGGGGTAGCTTCCACAACTCCACTTCCATTCTTTTTTTTTAAAAGGAGGGTGTTTACTTGTAGATAAGAATCTCAAAGATTTTTCCCTGCCCAGACTGACTTCAAACATGATCCTCATATCTTATGCTTCTGAGTAGCTAGGATTATAGACATGAACCAGTGTCAATGGCCTGTGAATTTATCATTTTAGTATTACATGATTTACACTCTGGGACAATTCTTCCTACTCAAAAAACTGAATGTGATAAGTATCATAGTCTCTATAATGTTTGAACAAAGAATATAGTCAATATGACAGCCAAGTCTTTCTACGAGTTTGACTCCAGTCTTTCTACCTAACCACATCTCCCAGTACTCCTCAAAATAAAATACTTATATCAATAAATCCAGACTTCTCATCAACCTCTACTGTGCAACAACCCTGGTCATTCTTGTATTCTGGACTGCCTCTATCTTTAGTATTCCTACTTAACTTTCAAGACAGCTTGCAGCTCATCTTCTCCCTGATGTTTATGCTGAACTTTAACTCTTTAAACAATTCATAATGTCTTTAATTACATACTTTTAAAATACTATAACTACTTGCACATATCTTCCTCTGGTATAAAAGATATTTAGTTTTAGAAATACATTAGGGCTTATATTAACTTGTTATATAGCCCTACAGTGCCTCTTGAAAAGTGTTAACTAAAAGTTTAAAACTTTTTAAAACTTTAAAACTAAAAGTTTAACTGAGAAACTCTGTAAGAATTCATTTGAAGAGAATATAGAAGCAAAATTTTCTCATTTTATACGTGAAAGGTCCCCAAAATGGGGACATGAAATTCAAGGTCATACAAGTAGTTTCATGTTAGAGATAGAAAAATAATTTAGTTTTCCTGTGGCACAGATTTCAGCTACCCATCAATATCAAGTCTCATCCATATATACAGGACTACCAATTGTCAGGTGAGAGGTGGTCACTCAGAAGTAAAGTTGTCATTTCTTAATATTCATTTGCTTAAATATAGATAGGAGTTCTATTAAATGAGAATGTCATATAACTGCTTCCTTCTCTTCTTCTTCTCCACTTCCTTCATCCGGATGCCTAGAACATGGATTTAATAATAGAATTCCACATTGGATCATAAGACAGAGGATCACTTCCCAAAGACAACAGAGAAGAAAAATGAATAAATCTGATGCCTAGAGGCCTTCCAGGAACAGAGCCACAGTATTTCCTCTGCCTTGTTTACACTCCAACTTTTATATAGAAAAGAAAGGAGTTTCTGTTTTGTTATTTTAATGGTTAGTTTGATTGTCTATTATAGGAAGCTTAACTTATTTTATCATTACTCTTATTGGCTTTCTGCTGCTCTCAGCCCTTTACAATACCACCAGACATACCATTCTTTTATTAATTAGACCAGTCAATGTACACTTACATTCTGTCTGACATAATTCTAGGAGGCGATTTGGGTAAAAACCAGAGTGTAATATTCAGATCATATTCTTTTTTTTTTTTTTTTGTCGGTCGTGGGGCTTGAACTCTGGGCCTGGGTGCTGTCCCTCAGCTCTTCAGCTCAAGGCGAGCGCTCTACCACTTGAGCTACAGCGCCACTTCCGGTTTTCTGGTGGTTTATTGGAGATAGGAGTCTCACGGTCTCTCCTGCCCGGGCTGGCTTTGAACCGCGATTCTCAGATCTCAGCCTCCTGAGTAGCTAGGATTACAGGCGTGAGCCACCAGCGCCCGGCTTCAGATCATATTCTTATACATCATGAGTGTTTAATAAACTTTTCATTCTCTTAAATCATAACAATTCAGCTATATATCAAAAATTCATCTCAGAATTTCTTTAATAGTCCATCTTAATCTGATAGTCTCTGGTAACATATTGTTGATTGGTCTAAGTACATCTAGTATGTTCTATTCTGCCCCATTTTCATCTACTATCCTTCTCCACTCTTTGCTTTGCTCTGAGAGGATGTAGTGTATAGGCTATGCTAATGGGTTCTCTTGTCACCTGACTTTTGGCTGGGTTAGCCTTCATGGGAGATCAGTGAAAGTTAAGAAAAGGACTATGTGTATTGTGTACCTAACATTTTGGTCAATGACAGACCACATATGTCACCTAGGGCTGTGAAAGTCATTTTAGTTTCTATAAAAATACTTCAGATATTCACACAATAAGAAAAGGTGGCATTTCTTAGAATATATCCTTATGGTTAAGCAATACATGGTTATATTTTTCTGTAAGGCCTTTCAGATTACCTATATTTTAAACTAAAAATAACAGTTCTATCCCAGTGGCCCACCAAATAATTCTATGCTTGAGATCTGGTAACTGCTCCTTCCTTCATATCCTGTAACCTGTTATTGGCTCTAGGAAACTCCATTATATATTGTGCATACTGTCTGTACCTTGTAAACAGCCTATTTATTAAACCTTCCTCTTTGAATTATCCAAATCTGAGCCTATTGTTTCCTGCTAGTATGTTGACTAATGCACCTAGAGTCCATACTTTAAGTTCGAAGAATAGATACCAGATATAAATGGCATGTACCAGAAGAACTGATAGGAAGGTAAGAGTAAAGCAAATATATTTTGTGAGATCTTAGTATATAGCTTACCTCAAAATATAAAAATATCATGACCAACTTTGGCTCTAGGAATCTGAGGAATAGATATGCTTTCTTTCTTTCTCTCTCTCTTTACTTTTGACTGTTTCCTAGGTTTATCTAGAAGTAGGATGCATTTCTATGTGGAATTCACAGTTACCAAGTAAAGCTCATTTTTATACCATACATACCAGAAGCTCATTGGATAGTAATTTCTGATATTTCTACCAGTACATTTACTTAAGACTTTCAGTATTCCTACTTAGGGATACAAAAATACATACTACTTAGAGACTAAAATGTAAAATCAAATGATCACCTGCTTATTCTTTATTATCAACCAAAGTATTGCTGACAAAAAAGAACATTTTTTTAATTAAATGAGAAAGTTTTCATAAATACGATATAATAACTTCTTATTCTGGTTTGGTCAGGAAGAAGAAAGAGGAAGACAAGATATTTTAGGGAAAATAATGCCCTAGTCCTAAATCCCATAACTCATGAATATTTTGCTTTATATAACAAAGATACTTTCTAAGTATGATAAAGTTAGAAATCTTGAGATGAGAGATTATCCTGGATTATTTTGGTAAACAGTGCAATAAATCACATGGTAAGACAACATCTTTTTAAATCATTAAATTATTACTTAGATAATTATTCTTGATTTCTATTATTACTTAAAAGAGTTAACATATTAAAAGTTCCAATACACTAATCTTCAAAGTACTAATATATATTATTTGCATTGTATAAAAAAAATTAATTGATAAATCTCTATCTCAAGGTTGCCTGTTTCTAAATGGGCACCCAAACCAAGGTGCTAGGCTTACCACGCTCTGGCCCAGCTGCTCCCGAAAGAAATAGTCCATGTTTCTCTTTTGGAGGCTGTCAAGGTAATGCTGGAAGCGAGTGTACGTATACGGGTAGCAGTAAGCAAATTGGTAAATATCTTCTTCTCGGTCAAAACAGAATGCAAAGGACATCACATAGTTCTTCCGATGGTCTGGACAGCGGTAGTAGTACACATTTTTAGGTGGCAGCCTTTGCCTGAAAAATAAATATGAGTTTAAGAGATAGCAGTTCAGACCTTAAAGCTAACAAAAGGTACAAATGCCTAGAAGAAAAACTTCTAACAGCAAGAACCTCTCATGAGTATGAGCCTAGAAAACCTAGCAAGATCCTGCCTAAAAGTAAGCAGGAGGGAAGAACGGCAAGCTGGCAGATTAGAAGCACTTTCCATTTTCACTCTGTGAATGAGCACAGTCTTGTATCACAAAAGAGACTAGATTTAAAGAGAGAAAGAGAAGAAGGAAGCTGGAAATCATGAAAGAGGTGATGGGGAGGTAGAAAACTGCAGAAAAACTATGTCCTCAGCAGAAAAGCATCAAGGAGTCCAGAGCTGGTCTCTGGCTCCTCCAACTGAGGGACAGAAATAAAAAACTGTAATACAAGGTAAAATTGACAGGTTCTACTTATGGACCCCAAACTCTAGCTGTTGAAAAAGTCCACACAAGGTATAAACCTTAATCCCTGTAGCTTGTTACAGGGATTGTCTTTGTTAAATGGCAACTCCTTTGCACAACAACTTAAAGATACTAGAAAAACATGTTGTGGTTTATCTATGGCAATAGCTTTTGCAGCTAAGCTTCCTCCCCTTCCAGAAGACTTCCACATTTCAATCTTGAGGATTGAAATTCATTATTTGGCAGCTGAGATGGCATCCCTCCATTCTAGCAACAAGAAAAGATACTACAACCCAGGCATTACCCAATCTCAAGTAATTTGCAAGAAATCACCAATGGAAAGGGTACAGAAGATTGAAATCTATATCCAAAATTGGCCCAGATACATGAATCCCAGTGGAAAAAAATCACTAAATTTATGAATAAAGAAGGCAGCACAGTTTTCTTCAAAAGCCAATAATTCTACAATAGAGGTTTTAAGTCATAGTGAAGCTAAAGTTCCAACAACGCACTCAACACACACACACACACACACACACACACACACACACACACACACACACACACACACACACACACACACACACACACACAAAACCCCAAAGAACTGTCAATGAAATAAAGGAGGCAATGTTTAAATACCTAAATAAACTCAAAAAGCATGCAAACAGGGTTATTCTGATTGAGACCCAAAATATGCATCTCTGAAATACCATAGTGAAACCATTTGGTGCAATTAATATACAATTTTAAAACTGAATGACAAAGAAATTAAAGTCTTGGATGGAAGGATTAGCCAGTAGTGTGTTGGGGGAAGGTGTGGGGAAGAATAACAAAGAGGACAAATGAAGATGAACAGGTCAAACTAGTTTATTAGCAAGTATGAAAATAGAACAATTAATCCTGTTGAATTTATTTTAAGAAGAGGGAGTGGAATATAGAGAGTGATGGCAGGAGATGATTATGATTTACATGTATAGAAATGTCACACATTTTCAAGGGGAGAGTCCCCCTTGTACAATTCATGTATGCTAATCAATTTTTTAAAAAGAACCCTGAGTCATGAGCATAGGAGAATGATACATCACATAGCCAATACTAGACCTGAATTTGGCAACATTTTGTTAAAACTCTAGCCCCTGTTCTTTATCAATTGTTTGGAAAATGTGAAGTTAAGCAAAAATGAACTCATTTTACAGATGTGTTTATCCTTATTTGAAATACATATATGCCCAGGCAATACACAAGCTCTGGATATGACAGACAAAGTCTTGGTCTTCATGGAATGTATATCTTCTAATGGGGAATACTCAATAAAATATTAACAACAAGTCTGTATACTTTCAGACTCTAAAATTTTCTTGAGAGAAAACAATGTGATGATAGAGAAACATTGACACATGAGGCCCACTTTTCCAAGAAAAGTCAGGATTTTCTTTTTTCTTCTTCTTTTTTTTTGTATTACAAGACTAAGCATTTTAAAAATAAACTACTTAACACCTTGTGAATATCAAAGAAGGGAAAGGAATACTCAACATTACTCTACATTAGTACTACTACTTTTCCACAGAACATTCCATTTCCACAGAAATACTTTAGGAAATACTGATATAAATATGCTGGACAGGCAAGTTTGTTACCCAGGAATGCTCATTCTCTAGCAAAGGAACACCAATATATTCACAAGGAAAGGAAAACTTCCAGTCAGAGGTCCCACAACTTGTTTACACTGCAAAGTCTTCAAGCTTTTCCAGGCAGAATGGCTCTTATCTTTCTCCGTCCTACTCCCAAGCCAACATTCTAATCTAGTTATGCTACAAACCCTTCAGCTACTCATCATTCTAATTAGATCGCAATCCTAACAGTCCTATATTGAAATTCTTGTCCTACCAATGATAAAAGGACACAAATAATGGTTTTCAAGGTGTATGGGAAGTGAGGAGGAAAGTCACTCTCCCTTGTTTCTTCTAAATGTGGAGTATAAAAGAATGAGCAGTTCCTGGGAGGCTAACAGAGGAAGTAATGACTTCCAAGACAGTTGGTTATTGAGATGGTTTTTATATTCAGCAAATATTTAAGTATTATGTACCAAGCATAGTTTGGTTAAGATAAAGCACAGTTTGGTAAAGGACATTGTAGACAAAAAGGCTAAGATTAACCATGAAAAATGGAAAGGTTTGGAGAAGAAATGAGGTAGTGAAAAACCAAGATTAGTGAAGAAGTAACAGGATGAACTATGAAAAAGAGATAGAATATACATTGCTCTGCATTTGCAATGTGCTTGGAGATACAAAAATGCAGTTGGCAGAATAACCTATTCTTACTAGTTCAGATTTGTATTTAGGAAAAACACCTACCTGGTGTATCTGGTTTGTGATAGTCACTAAGGGCGTAACTCAAAGATCTGAATATGAGTCTCTAGTAGCCCTAGTCAGCATTCATTACTACACAGGTGATTCCTAAAGCCATAAGGTCCCTTAGGTTATGATGCTATTTTCAACTCTTCATTTACCAGTATATCTGCACAGGGCCCATGTTTTAAATCCAGTCACTCTCGTTTTCTCTCTCATAGCCAAGTTTAGCAGTTTAACTCTGTGAGACTGTATCTTCACTGAATTTGATTATCTTCTATCAGGAGAATCATCTACTGCCTGGAGCTGTCCCAGCTGCTCTCCAGAGTGGGTCAGAATGCCTAACCTGATTAGCAGAGGGAGTGGAGGTAATAGGCCTTGGGTAATCATTCAGAGAAGTTGAGATGCTGCTTGGGTTTAGACTTTCCAGACCCATCTAAGTATACAAACATACCAATTTGAGAAGAGTTTAGTATGACAAACTCATCAGGACTTTTAAATAAAGCAAAGAATAAAGGCAAAGGAGGCTGAGATTAGGGAGGAGATATGTCTTTTCCCTTTGGAATGCATTTTTAATTTTCTCTTATTTCGCATATTCTCATTTTGTTATTTTTTTCAAATTCCTTATTGTGATTAAGTGATTACCTAATTTCCCAAATTTCACAGTATTGTGAGATAGTGATGCTCAGTGAAAGTCACAAACACATTCTAACTTTCATCAGGCAAATTGTCTATCATCGTCCTAACATTTATGAGTTCTATGAGCTTTGCAATACAGTTCTTTCTTCCACATTTGGTGATATGTACATTTCTTTTGTTTTGCATGGCATCAGCTATTCCCTCTTTCCCACTCATTCCCTCCCTCTCATCACTGCCATTGAGTTGCTTAGTTCATTTTGATCAATGTCCAGTGCAGCTGATGGGTCCCACTGTTGTATTTTTTTCCCTGATTTGCTCTAGTTCCGTGTCCTCCTCCTGTTTTCCCTCCAGTGTGTTCATATATACCATGTATATGATCAGCAGCATGGGGTTATTTAGTAGGGATTCGACCAGATGAGTGGAATTCCTTTATTTTTTAAGCCTTGTTAATTTTGTCATATTACCTTACGTTTTGGATTTAACATCCACTTATCAGGGAGACCATGTGCCGTTTGTCTCTTTGCTCTTGGCTTACCTCACTCAACATGTTTTCTTCTAGCTCCATCCATTTCCCTGCAAATGCCATTATTTTGTCCTTTCTAATGGCTGCATAATATTCTATTGTGTAAAAATACCACAATTTTTTGATCCATTCATCTGTGGTGGAATATCTGGGTTGTTTCCATATCCTGGCTATTGTGAACAGTACTGCAATAAACATGGAGGTGCATGTACCCTTGTATACTAGTTCCTGTTGTTCAGGATAGATGCCTAGAAGTGGTATGACTGGGTCATAAGGGAGGTCAATATTTAGCTTTCTGAGGACCCTCCAGACTGCTTTCCAAAGTGGTTGTATAAGTGTACATTCCCACCAGCAGTGTAATAGGGTTCCTCTTTCTCTGCATCCCCTCCAGCATTTCCGTTGGCTGACTTTAGGATGTGGGCCATTCTGACTGGGGTAAGGTGGTATCTTTATTTGCATTTTCTTTACAACCAGGGATGGTAAACATTTCCTCATGTGTTTCTTTGCCGTTTTTATCTCTTCTTCTGAGAAGTCTCTCTTTAGTTCCCTTGCTCATTTAGTAATTGGTTTGTTAGGTTTGGGAGGGATTAGTTTCTTGAGTTCCTTGTATATACTGGATATTAACCCCTTGTCTGATATATTGTTGGTAAATATTTTTTCCCAGTTAGTTGGTTGTCTTTCTAGCTTGGTTGCTATAGCTTTAGTTGTGCAGAAACTCAAGTCTCTCTCCAATTTGTTGTGACCCTGGGACTCTGTTCAGGAAGTTCCTGCCTGTGCCTATAAATTCAAGTGTCTCACCTACTCTGTCCTGCAGTAGTTTCAGAGATTCAGGTTTGATGTTAAGGTCTTTAATCCATTTTGAGTTGATGTTTGGTGCATGGTGATAGGCTGGGGTCCACTTTAAGTTTTCTGCATGTGGCCTCCTAGTGTTGCCAGCACCAGTAGTTGAACAGGCTGTGTTTCTTCCACTGTATGTCTTTGGCTCCTTTGTCAAATATCAGCTGACTGTAGGCTGTGGTTTTACTTCTGCGTCTTCTAATCTACTCCATTGGTCTTCGGGTCTGTTTTTGT